TCTGAGGAGTGGCAGGTGGTGGGCCTGGAGCAGAGGGTGCTTAGACCTTGGGAAGGTAGATGAGAGGAGTCCCAGTTAAACAAGGTGGGTTGAACATGTTATATTTATCTCCATTTCCTCCTGAATTGCCTCTAAAATGGCAGTATTTAAAAGAAATACGAGAGCAAAGAAAACACTTGAGCATTTGACAAAAGATATCAACAAGATGGGGGAGGAGGGAAAGCAGGCATGAGGAGGGGAATCGAGAATGGGCAGAGAAGGTGGCACTGAAGGCCAGCGGACAGGTGGGCTGGAGGAAGCAGCAGCTCCCTGGCAAGAGGGGAGAGGAGGCCCAGCCTTGTGAGGAGGGGTCAAAAGTGGAGGACGGGTTGTAGATCCGCGTACGGGGTGGGCATTTAGACAGCTGATCTCTTACACACCCCGGAGAGCAGGTGGCTGAGCTGCCCCCACCTAGAAGGTGGCATGAGAAGACACAGGTGAGTGTGGGAATGAGAGGCCAGACCAACACTGTAGGGGCCAAAAAACTCCACCTCTGACCTCCTGGGGTCCCGGCTGAGTCCAAGAATTAAATTGACATAACGTAGATGAACACGGAGAAAAGCATAATACAAGTTTTACATGGCATGGGAGAATGTCCTCACAAAGAAATGAATACCCAAAGAAGCAGCTGGATGGAGTCAGTCACTTATCTAGTGAATTGGACAAAGAGTAGTTAGTTGTGAAGAAGCAACCAAATGGTGTGGGGAGGCTTAAAAGAGAAGAGTTATTCTAGCAAGGTCTGTACAGGATTCTCTCGATCTCGACTTCTCATGCTCAAGGATACAGATGTTGCATCTTTCTAGTATAGGGAGGGCATCTTTCATGTGGGAATTTCATCTTCTGCTTTTAGGAAACAGCATGAAGGTCAAAGTGATCGTTTTGCACCTGATGTTTTTCAAGTGTCTTTAACTTCAATGGTCAGTGTGCCAGAATAGCACATACTAACCCCTTCAACAGCACAGAGGAAGTGACAGTCCTCAGCCCCCTTGGCTCACCTGCTTCTCAGTCAGGGGATTGGGGGTCCTCTCCCCATAGCATGGGGAAAGACCTTACAGTAAACACTGCCGTTCACAGGTTTCTTCCTCATCCCCGGGAGATCAGTGGTCGGGGCCCTGTACGCCCACTGCCCCTGGTAAAGCCCCTTCCCAGACACACTGAAATATCAATTCACTTCTCAGTCCTGGTTCTTGAATATAAAAGGATATCCAAAAATCACCAAAAATTTGGGGCAGGGGGGAGTCCTGGTAGGGTCCTAGCATGAAATGGAGGCACACTCAGCAGGGTCTTATAAAGGGACCAATGACAAAGGTGTGGACAGAGTTAGGGAAGCCAGCAAGGGATGGTGTAGTGTCCTGGGGCTCACAGCAGCAGAGCCATCACCACCCTCCAGCTCCATAGAAGGAGGCACCCAGCCCTTGGTTACCTCTCCAGGGAGGCAGTGGGAGAGCACATGCCTCCATCACATTCTTCTGCTCCCTGGCTTCCTGTCACTCATTCCACTGACTCAAGCCATTGGAACAAGGACCAGGGAACCCAGCTGGTGCAGTCCATAGAGCTCGGCCTCCCAGGCCACAGTCTGCACTCTACTCCTACACTCTGTGTTATGGTTCTAAGGTCATAGTTGTTATCTTTAGCTGTAGTTCATTCATTTTTCACTGATGTGTAATAGTCCATTGGTGAATATACTACAACTCATTTATCCATTGTCTTGTTGATGGACATTTGGGTTATCTCTGGGTGTTTGCTACTATAAAAAAAAA